AGGTATGATAACACGACCCCTGCAGGCAGGTATGATAACACGACCCCTGTAGGCAGGTATGATAACACGACCCCTGTAGGCAGGTATGATAACACGACCCCTGTAGGCAGGTATGATAACACGACCCCTGTAGGCAGGTATGATAACACGACCCCTGTAGGCAGGTATGATAACACGACCCCTGCAGGCAGGTATGATAACACGACCCCTGTAGGCAGGTATGATAACACGACCCCTGCAGGCAGGTATGATAACACGACCCCTGCAGGCAGGTATGATAACACGACCCCTGCAGGCAGGTATGATAACACGACCTCTGCAGGCAGGTATGATAACACGACCCCTGCAGGCAGGTATGATAACAACACCTGTAGGCAGGTATGATAACACGACCCCTGTAGGCAGGTATGATAACACGACCCCGGCAGGCAGGTATGATAACACGACCCCTGCAGGCAGGTATGATAACACGACCCCTGCAGGCAGGTATGATAACACGACCCCTGCAGGCAGGTATGATAACACAACACCTGTAGGCAGGTATGATAACACGACCCCTGCAGGCAGGTATGATAACACAACACCTGTAGGCAGGTATGATAACACGACCCCTGCAGGCAGGTATGATAACACGACCCCTGTAGGCAGGTATGATAACACGACCCCTGCAGGCAGGTATGATAACACGACCCCTGCAGGCAGGTATGATAACACGACCCCTGCAGGCAGGTATGATAACACAACCCCTGTAGGCAGGTATGATAACACGACCCCTGCAGGCAGGTATGATAACACGACCCCTGCAGGCAGGTATGATAACACGACCCCTGCAGGCAGGTATGATAACACGACCCCTGCAGGCAGGTATGATAACACGACCCCTGCAGGCAGGTATGATAACACAACACCTGTAGGCAGGTATGATAACACGACCCCTGCAGGCAGGTATGATAACACGACCCCTGCAGGCAGGTATGATAACACGACCCCTGTAGGCAGGTATGATAACACAACACCTGTAGGCAGGTATGATAACACGACCCCTGTAGGCAGGTATGATAACACGACCCCTGCAGGCAGGTATGATAACACGACCCCTGTAGGCAGGTATGATAACACAACACCTGCAGGCAGGTATGATAACACGACCCCTGCAGGCAGGTATGATAACACAACACCTGTAGGCAGGTATGATAACACAACACCTGTAGGCAGGTATGATAACACAACACCTGTAGGCAGGTATGATAACACAACACCTGTAGGCAGGTATGATAACACAACACCTGTAGGCAGGTATGATAACATATATAACACCTGTAGGCAGGTATGATAACACATATAACACCTCTAGGCAGGTATGATAACATATATAACACCTGTAGGCAGGTAACTATGATAACCAGTACCAACACCTGTGGTCAGATAACTATGATAACCAGTACCAACACCTGTGGTCAGGTAACTACGATAACCAGTACCAACACCTGTGGTCAGGTAAATATGATAACCAGTACCAACACCTGTGGTCAGGTAAATATGATAACCAGTACCAACACCTGTGGTCAGGTAAATATGATAACCCAGTACCAACACCTGTGGTCAGGTAACTATGATAACCCAGTACCAACACCTGTGGTCAGGTAACTACGATAACCAGTACCAACACCTGTGGTCAGATAAGTACGATAACCAGTACCAACACCTGTGGTCAGATAACTATGATAACCAGTACCAACACCTGTGATCAGATAACTATGATAACCCAGTACCAACACCTGTGATCAGATAACTATGATAACCCAGTACCAACACCTGTGGTCAGGTAACTGTGATAACCAGTACCAACACCTGTGGTTAGGTAACTATGATAACCAGTACCAACACCTGTAGGCAGGTATGATAACACATATAACACCTGTGGTCAGGTAACTATGATAACCAGTACCAACACCTGTGGTCAGGTAACTGTGATAACCAGTACCAACACCTGTAGTTCAGACAAGCTGCTCAAGCAGTGCTCTTACGACCAACGCATCACTGACCCAAACTTTTGCAATTTGCAGAATTACTTAAACATGGCAATTCAGAAAGGAATTTATAGCTTTATGATGTGTGTCGATATGTCGAGTTCTCAGTTTTACTATGAATATGACAACATATCAATAGTAGGTGTGGCCCTCCACCACTGTGGGTGTGGCCCCCGCACCACTGTGGGTGTGGCTCCCCACCAGTGTGGGTGTGGCCCCCGCCCCCACCTGGAGTGGGGGGTGGGAGAGAGGGGGCGGTAGGGGGTTATGTCGTGTGTGTGTGGCAGAATCTACGTCCAATCTTTATTCATTAAGATCACAGACAACCTCAGAGACACGAAGACTGTTGCATAGGGGTGGCAGGACGTGTGGGGGGTGGCAGGACGTGTGGGGGGCGGGGCAGGACGTGTGGTGGGTGGGGCAGGACGTGTGGGGGGTGGCAGGACGTGTGGGGGGTGGCAGGACGTGTGGGGGGCGGGGCAGGACGTGTGGGGACGGGGCAGGACGTGTGCGGGGCGGGGCAGGACGTGTTGGGGGTGGGGCAGGACGTGTGGGGGGCGGTTCAGGACGTGTGGGAGGTTGGGCAGGACGTGTGGGAGGCGGCAGGACGTGTGGGGGCGGGGCAGGACGTGTGGGGGGCGGGACAGGACGTGTGGGGGGCGGGACAGGACGTGTGGGGGGCGGGACAGGACGTGTGGGGGGTGGGACAGGACGTGTGGGGGGCGGGGCAGGACGTGTGGGGGGCGGGACAGGACGTGTGGGGGCGGGGCAGGACGTGCGGGGGCGGGGCAGGACGTGTGGGGGGCGGGGCAGGACGTGTGGGGGGCGGGACAGGACGTGTGGGGGGCGGGGCAGGACGTGTGGGGGGCGGGGCAGGACGTGTGGGGGGGCGGGGCAGGACGTGTGGGGGGCGGGGCAGGACGTGTGGGGGGCGGGGCAGGACGTGTGGGGGGCGGGGCAGGACGTGTGGGGGGCGGGGCAGGACGTGTGGGGGGCGGGGCAGGACGTGTGGTGGGTGGGGCAGGACGTGTGGGGGGGGGCGGGGCAGGGGGAGGTCAGCAGTCAATAACAACCCCCAACTCGTCCAAGCCCCAATGGCTTCCGTCATTCATGGCACCGTAACAAGAGTCATAATGACAAACGTTGTCATTCCAGTCCCCATCCCACTATCACCAAGTGCCCGGAAAACCTGCATTAAGATAGCTCGGACAAAGACTGACAATGCTGAAACACTTGGCGACTATAGAGTTTAACTCGAGCAAATGCAAGATAATGAAGCAAGGTGCTGGGGACATTAGGACAACCACTACCTGGAAACTATGAGTGGAAACACTTTTGCAATTAAGACATAAAATTGGACTACTGCCTGGAGCCTACATCAAACGAATATCATCATCGGTGTGTGCAAGGTTGGGAAAATTAGAACTGCTTTTTGTCTAGAGAAGGAGCCAATCAGGCCCTTGTGTCACACTCCACACCCCCAGTTCTGGAACAATCTGGCTTCAGCGTCGAGTTCTAATGTAAATCACAAAGTGAAGTTAGTCCCAGAGTCGAGAGGTACGAATTGCGAGGAAAGACTAATGCAATTAAGCCTCAGGTCATGTTTAGAGAGAGGAAAACACCATTCAACATTCTCAGGGACATTGGAGGAGCCGGAACAGAGAGCAGTCAACACAGCTGGCTGTGGGGTGGTATGAGGCCGGCCTCCCTCACCCAGAGTGACCACAGCTGGCTCAGGGTAGTATGAGGCCGGCCTCCCTCACCCAGTGTGACCACAGCTGGCTCAGGGTGGTATGAGGCCGGCCTCCCTCACCCAGTGTGACCACAGCTGGCTCAGGGTAGTATGAGGCCGGCCTCCCTCACCCAGTGTGACCACAGCTGGCTGTGGGGTGGTATGAGGCCGGCCTCCCTCACCCAGTGTGACCACAGCTGGCTGTGGGGTGGTATGAGGCCGGCCTCCCTCACCCAGTGTGACCACAGCTGGCTCAGGGTAGTATGAGGCCGGCCTCCCTCACCCAGTGTGACCACAGCTGGCTCAGGGTAGTATGAGGCCGGCCTCCCTCACCCAGTGTGACCACAGCTGGCTCAGGGTAGTATGAGGCCGGCCTCCCTCACCCAGTGTGACCACAGCTGGCCTCCCTCACTCACTAGGCCTATATATTGTCAGGTTAGACCTAAAGAACAGGCAGTTGGACGCCTACTTTAGTCCCCCCTTCAACTCTCTAACTTCACGTGTTCAGAGTTGCGTTTTCTTTCACTTTGTTAATTCTTGCCGTAAACTGTTTATTTACGAAAAAGACTTTCCACAATAACAATAAGTGTGGCACAAAGGTGGGGATGGTCACAATAGATGGGTCACCATAGATGGGTCACGATAGATAGGTCACAATAGATAGGTCACGATAGATAGGTCGCCAAAGACCATAGTGTACACAGCAATAACCAGTCTCTCAAAATACCAATATTCGTCTCAAATTCGTACACCAATATCAATAAACAAATATTAATGTGTTCGAAATTGCTACAAAGTTTCCGTCTAAAGTATATATATTGAATATATTGAAAAAAAAACGCGGTTACATGTCACTTTTGGTTCTTGAGTTCTCTTTCATGTGTTCATTCTTGGGGGAGTGGAAACATGGCGTGTTCAGTGTTCACACACGCGATACACATTGTGTGTGTTCATGAACACGACGAGAACAGTTTGGTGGATCACACAGCTGAACAGTTTGGGGGCTAAATGCCAACACATCGATCACTTTCCAGGTCATTGAGTCGTTCAGTTTCTCATTACTCAGAATGCCAGGCTGTAGAAAGGTCACTTCCTGAACGGTCACCCAGTGTCGACACGCATGCGCACACGTACACACACACACACGCACGCACACACACAGACAGTAAGTCCTGTCCCAGCTGGAGTCAATGTACACCTAAACATCCCCTTATCCCTCCTATCCCCTATCAACTGACGCAGTAAGGACAGAGGATAGTGGAGGACGAGGACAGTGGCCGAGGCTAGCTTAGCAGTGCGCTGGGCCGAGCGACACCTGCCGGTCGACTGAGGTAGTGGGCCCGCGCGCCCCACGCCACAACCGTGGTGGTGGGCGGGGCACCCGACCGAAACACATGCCACCACCACCACCAATCACCGCCGGATAATCAACCCGATATTCCACCACGTTATCAGGATCACCAGCGGCGGTGACGTCAACAGGGGCCCGCAGACGTGGTGGCTTACTTGGTGTGATTTGGTCATGTTATTTAGTCTCCTGGTTATCGATTTGCACGCACACACGCACGCAGACACACACACACACATGGGGGAGAGTGCTGGGGGCGTCCTAGCTGTTACCTCATCTCTGGCTAGGTCCCACGACCTGTCTCATGTCTGCAAATGTGGGGCCCATCGACCTGACTCATGTCTGCATATATGAGGCCCATCGACCTGACTCATGTCGACATCTATGAGGCCCATCGACCTGACTCATGTCGACATCTGTGAGGCCCATCGACCTGACTCATGTCGACATCTGTGAGGCCCATCGACCTGACTCATGTCGACATCTGTGAGGCCCATCGACCTGACTCATGTCTGCATATATGAGGCCCATCGACCTGACTCATGTCTGCATATATGAGGCCCATCGACCTGACTCATGTCTGCATATATGAGGCCAAGCGACCTGTCTCATGTCGACATCTGTGAGGCCCATCAACCTGACTCATGTCGACATATGTGAGGCCCATCGACCTGTCTCATGTCTGCATATGTGAGGCCCATCGACCTGACTCATGTCTGCATATATGAGGCCCAGCGACCTGTCTCATGTCTGCATATGTGAGGCCCATCGACCTGACTCATGTCTGCATATGTGAGGCCCATCGACCTGACTCGTGTCTGCATATGTGAGGCCCATCGACCTGACTCATGTCTGCATATGTGAGGCCCATCGACCTGACTCATGTCTGCATATGTGAGGCCCATCGACCTGACTCATGTCTGCATATGTGAGGCCCATCGACCTGACTCGTGTCTGCATATGTGAGGCCCATCGACCTGACTCATGTCTGCATATGTGAGGCCCATCGACCTGACTCATGTCTGCATATGTGAGGCCCATCGACCTGACTCGTGTCTGCATATGTGAGGCCCATCGACCTGACTCATGTCAACATATGTGAGGCCCATCGACCTGACTCATGTCGACATCTGAGAGGCCCATCGACCAGACTCATGTCAACATCTGTGAGGCCCATCGACCTGACTCATGTCGACATATGTGAGGCCCATCGACCAGACTCATGTCGACATCTATGAGGCCCATCGACCTGACTCATGTCGACATATATGAGGCCCATCGACCAGACTCATGTCGACATCTATGAGGCCCATCGACCAGACTCATGTCGACATATGTGAGGCCCATCGACCTGACTCATGTCGACATCTGTGAGGCCCATCGACCTGACTCATGTCGACATCTGTGAGGCCCATCGACCAGACTCATGTCGACATATGTGAGGCCCATCGACCTGACTCATGTCGACATCTGTGAGGCCCATCGACCAGACTCATGTCGACATCTATGAGGCCCATCGACCTGACTCATGCCGACATCTGTGAGGCCCATCGACCAGACTCATGTCGACATCTATGAGGCCCATCGACCTGTCTCATGTCGACATATGTGAGGCCCATCGACCTGACTCATGTCGACATCTATGAGGCCCATCGACCTGACTCATGTCGACATCTATGAGGCCCATCGACCTGACTCATGTCGACATATGTGAGGCCCATCGACCTGACTCATGTCCATACACACCTTCCCCTATAACCTCTCACACCTACACAAAGTCTTCTACACCAGAGATGGGCTTTGTTGATGGGTTTCTGCCCCAGCAGGTGGATGGGGCTGGAGCCTCGCCCTCTGCAGTAGCTTCGGACCACCGAGTTAGAAAGGTTAAATATAGCAAAAGGAATCCAACAGGGAAATAGCAGTTAGGTTATATAGACTACATCTCCTTTAATGGACACGAGAATAGAGCTAAACATATTGTGTGCGTGGGTGTGTGTGTGGGTGTGTGGGTGTGTACTCACCTAGTTGTGCTTGCGGGGGTTGAGCTCTGGCTCTTTGGTCCCGCCTCTCAACCGTCAATCAACAGGTGTACAGGTTCCTGAGCCTATTGGGCTCTGTCATATCTACACTTGAAACTGTGTATGGAGTCAGCCTCCACCACATTACTTCCTAATGCATTCCATTTGTCAACCACTCTGACACTAAAAAAGTTCTTTCTAATATCTCTGTGGCTCATTTGGGCACTCAGTTTCCACCTGTGTCCCCTTGTGCGTGTTCTCCTTGTGTGTGTGTGTGTGTGTGTGTGTGTGTGTGTGTGTGTGTGTGTGTGTGTGTGTGTGTGTGTGTGTGTGTGTGTGTGCTTACTAGTTGTGTTTTTGCGGGGGTTGAGCTTTGCTCTTTCGGCCCGCCTCTCAACTGTCAATCAACTGTTTACTAACTACTTTTTTTTTTTTCCCACCCCACACACACACACACCCCAGGAAGCAGCCCGTGACAGCTGACTAACTCCCAGGTACCTATTTACTGCTAGGTAACAGGGGCACTTAGGGTGAAAGAAACTTTGCCCATTTGTTTCTGCCTCGTGCGGGAATCGAACCCGCGCCACAGAATTACGAGTCCTGCGCGCTATCCACCAGGCTACGAGGCCCCTGTGTGTGTGTGTGTGTGTGTGTGTGTGTGTGTGTGTGTGTGTGTGTGTGTGTGTGTGTGTGTGTGTGTGTGTGTGTGTGTGTGTATGTGTGTGTGTGTGTGTGTGCGCGCGCGCGCGCATGTGTGGGTGTGGGTGTGGGTGTGGGTGTGTGTGTGTGTGCGTGCATGCGTACGTACGTGCGTGGGTGTGCGTGTGGGTGTGTGCGCGCGCGTGGCTGTATGTGTGTGTGTGGGTGTGGACCCCACCTCCTTCCACCCCCACCACCTCACGCAACTGGCCAGAAACTGAAAGTGGGGGGGCGACGTCCCCCTCCCCATCCATCCCCCCCTCCCCCCAAGCCCCCTTAAGTGACCCCTTGAGCTGCATCACATAAACTTGCCCACTCTTGACCGTCACTTTCCTCGCCTCTTGACAGCATTTAGCGTCGCTTGACAATCCACAACATCAGTCAACAGGTTGATGCTTATACACCTTGACACTGACACAATGTTGACATGGTGTCAATAGTACTGCTACCTGTCAACACTGCCACCTGTCAATACTGCTACCTGTCAATACTGCCATCTGTCAATACTACTACCTGTCAACACTGCCACCTGTCAATGCTGCTACCTGTCAATACTGCTACCTGTCAATACTGCCATCTGTCAATACTGCTACCTGTCAATACTGCTACCTGTCAATACTGCTACCTGTCAATACTGCTACCTGTCAATACTGCCATCTGTCAATACTGCCATCTGTCAATACTGCTACCTGTCAACACTGCCACCTGTCAATACTGCTACCTGTCAATACTGCCACCTGTCAATACTGCTACCTGTCAATACTGCCATCTGTCAATACTGCTACAAGTCTATACTGCCACCTGTCAATACTGCTACCTGTCAATACTGCCATCTGTCAATACTGCTACCTGTCAATACTGCTACATGTCTATACTGCCACCTGTCAATACTGCTACCTGTCAATACTGCCATCTGTCAATACTGCTACCTGTCAATACTGCTACCTGTCTATACTGCCACCTGTCAATACTGCTACCTGTCAATACTGCTACCTGTCAATACTGCTACCTGTCAATACTGCCACCTGTCAATACTGCTACCTGTCAATACTGCCATCTGTCAATACTGCCACCTGTCAACACTGCCACCTGTCAATACTGCTACCTGTCAATACAGCCATCTGTCAATACTGCTACCTGTCAATACTGCTACCTGTCAATACTGCCATCTGTCAATACTGCCACCTGTCAATACTGCTACCTGTCAATACTGCCATCTGTCAATACTGCTACCTGTCAATACTGCTACATGTCTATACTGCCACCTGTCAATACTGCTACCTGTCAATACTGCCATCTGTCAATACTGCCACCTGTCAATACTGCTACCTGTCTATACTGCCACCTGTCAATACTGCTACCTGTCAATACTGCCATCTGTCAATACTGCTACCTGTCAATACTGCTACCTGTCTATACTGCCACCTGTCAATACTGCTACCTGTCAATACTGCTACCTGTCAATACTGCTACCTGTCAATACTGCTACCTGTCTATACTGCCACCTGTCAATACTGCTACCTGTCAATACTGCCATCTGTCAATACTGCTACCTGTCAATACTGCTACCTGTCTATACTGCCACCTGTCAATACTGCTACCTGTCAATACTGCTACCTGTCAATACTGCTACCTGTCAATACTGCTACCTGTCAATACTGCTACCTGTCAATACTGCTACCTGTCAATACTGCTACCTGTCAATACTGCTACCTGTCAATACTGCTACCTGTCAATACTGCTACCTGTCTATACTGCCACCTGTCAATACTGCTACCTGTCAATACTGCTACCTGTCTATACTGCCATCTGTCAATAAGCTACTGACAGGTTTCTCCAAACCACTTGGGCTGGACGGTAGAGCGACGGTCTGGCTTCATGCAGGTCAGCGTTCAATCCCCGACCGTCCACAAGTGGTTGGGCACCATTCCTTTCCCCCGTCCCATCCCAAATCCTTATCCTGACCCTTTCCCAGTGCAACCCGTTCTCGCACTTGCTTATAGTCAATATTGGCTTATTTAATAAGTGCATATGTGACATACTAATTGATTGTGAATATTTTAGTTTCCCTTGAAAAGCTTCATAGAAAACACCGACCTTACCTAACCTTCTTAGTATGTTAAGATAAGCATCTTATTGCATCTTATTTACAATTATTACTTAACCTATCAACGGTATAGGTTAAGTAATAATTGTAATTACGAAGCAATAAGATGCTAAGACATAACATACTAAGAAGGTTAGGTAAGGTCGGTG